GGGCCGGAGGAAGACGCGGAAACAACACGAACGGACGGGACGGACAGTACTACCGAGCGCCTCGCAGCGTTGGGGTGGGACTAGCAGGGGCGGAGCCTGGGCTCCCTCGCTGAGACGCCGTTGGCCGCGCCCGCCGTCACCCGGCAGTAGTCGTGGAGGTCAGCCCCGCCTCTTCCTCTTTCTCTCTAAGCAGGCGGCAGAAGCGGTTCGTTTAGACATGGTGAGGGATGGGGAATCGCGTTCCATCCGCGGGTTGTGGCGATCGGGAGCTGGGGTGGAGAGTGCGGGGTGAACCCTGGGGTCCCATCTGCTAGCTGGGTCTGTCGGGCACCCTGCTGAGATGCTTAGCGCCACCACAGCCGGCCTTCCTCCGATCGTTGCCGGCCTGGGTTAGGAGAGGTGCGCGCGCGCCGCTGGGGCCTCCGTCTTCCCGTCTGCGGAATTGGACTGGCGGCCCAGTCTCGAGGTAGGCCTCGGCCTCGGTTACCCCGCGCCAGGCGCGCGGATTCCTGGGACTGGCCACGACGCAGGTGGAGAGGTCGGGATGTTTGGTGGAGGCCTCGGTGAGCGGCGGAGGGGGAGACGGAGCCACCGGGCATTTGAGCCAGACCCTTTTTTGCATACAGGCCAAAATTAAGGCTCGAGACCTTCGGGGCAAGAAGAAGGAGGAACTGCTCAAACAGCTGGACGACCTGAAGGTGGAGCTGTCCCAGCTGCGCGTCGCCAAAGTGACAGGCGGCGCGGCTTCCAAGCTTTCTAAGATGTAAGTGACGGGGGCCCGACCACAGCCCTTTGGGCCGGGGGCGCGGGGTGGGGCAGGGCGGAATATGTGTGCCTCGAGGGCATCCGTGAATTTTGGAAGTTGACTTAGGAGCTGTCCGCTTGCGTGCCCATTCAGTGGCTCTGTGGAATGGAATGTAACCAGGCTCACCTGCTCGCGGCTCCCCGCGGGGGGCGCTCTCTTTACCTGCCCTTGACCCTGTGGTCCTTTTACCCCGACTGTTCTTGTTCAGCTTCTTTGGCTGATGAAAGAACAGGGTGTCCCTGAAGACCCGTGTTAATGCTTTTTTCAAAAGCCCAACTGGACATTTTTTCTCACCTCCCATCAGCACTTGATTTTTCCCCCCCTTCACTTGGTAGGTGGGTGCTGCTCAACATGACTACAGACTCACCTGTCTCCAGCTGGTTCCTAGCTTCAGGCTTCCCGCTTCTCCTTAGCATTTCTCCCTCCCAAGTGGCTCCTGTTGCGGCCCCTTAAGCTTCCCTGATTTGCCCAGCTTGTAGCGTGGTTCTCCCTGCTCAGCTCCTTAAGATGGGCATTGGTTAGGTTGGCTTCATAGCCCTGAGGATATGTGGCCTGGGATGGAAGATCTTCAGCCTTCCACCACCTTTCATTAAGCCTCCTCAGCGAACCCTTCACAGCTCCTGAAGAGCACTGCGCACTCCAGCGCTTCCCTAGCCCCACTCCTGGGGTGCTCATATCCCATAGCCTCCGCGGCCTTACCTTCAGAATCCCTTCCTCCTGGGCTGGGTCAGGCGCCTCCTGGGCGAACATGGATGAGCTGAAGGGGGATGCCCCTGCCCTGTGAGATACGGGTCGGGCCCTGGATGACATGCTGGGGGGAGCTCTGTGTGTCTTCGCTGTCTTCATTGACGTCCCTGTTTTTGTAGCCGAGTTGTTCGCAAATCCATTGCCCGTGTTCTCACCGTCATTAACCAGACTCAGAAAGAGAACCTCAGGAAATTCTACAAGGTGAGTGGGGGTACATGTGGGGGTGCCTGGCTATAGAAAGCAAAGTACTAGGCCCCCCTTGCCAAGGGGGTCAGTATGCAGAGGTTCTGCTGGGGTATGTGGGACAGGCCTTTGCTCAGACATCATTGGGCTTTCCAGAACCTTCCCCGCTTCTGGTGGATAGGTTCGCCTTTTTCCCAGCATGCGATGTGCAGAGTGATTTCCTCAGGGCTGCAACTGTCAAGGAATCAATGGTGTGGTAGGAGCCTGACTGGACGCTTGGGTTTTGGGTGCAGCCTCACCAGCTGAGTGAGGGTGAGCACTCTTGAGGATTGACTATTAAATGTTTAGTCTTAATAGCACTGCGTCACTGCCAAACACCTGACATTCTGATTTTCCAAAGAGCACTTCAGGGCTTACAGCGCTTAGGTTACTCAGGGTCACCTACAGATGGTGGAGTGGTGGGGCTGAAGTTCCAAACCATGTCCTGCCCTGGCTGGTGTGGCTCAGTGGATTGAGCACTGGCTTGCAAACCAAAGGGCCAAACCATGTCCTGGGGAGGGGTGGAGTATTCCTGAGAGATTTCCGCAGGTACCTGACCCCTCAGCCTAGGATTTTTACACCTGTTCTCTAGTTCTGGCCTTAAATTAATCTAGTCCTTAAATTAATCTGACCAGGGTCCAAGCAGTGAAGCTGAACCTGTAGGAGACTTTAGATATGGGTGTAGATGTACATTTGCTTTTATGAGGGATTGGCTTATGTGGTTGTGGGGGCGGGCTAATAGCAAGTCCAAACTCCGACTGTTGGAAGAGAAGGTTGCAGCCAGGCTGGAGCTCGTGACACAGGTTGAAGCTTTTGTCTTGCTGGCGGGATTTCTTGGGGAGAGCCTCAGCCTTACCATCAAGGGCTTTCAGCTGCTTTTATCTGGCCTACCTAGGTTACCCAGGATAGTCTCTGAATTTAAATCAACTGATTAGTGGCTTTAATTACATCTATAAAATGGCTTCTTATCAACTCCCAGGGCAGTATTTGAATAACTGGAGCGTTTGATATCCAACAAGGCCATCATGGTGTGATGGGCACCGCTAGCTGCCCAGGGGACGCTGGCGGCGGTGGGGTGGGGGGTGCTGCCGCCCTGGATGTGTGCAGTATGTTGGGGGGAACGTTATACTGAGGATTGGGCCTGAAGCTTTCATCGGGCTGTGAGGGGCCCAGGCAGAGGTTTTCGTAACCATCCAGTGAGCACACCTGTGCCGGCCCCACTCGGGGGGGGTGGAGGTGAGGCCTCTGCCTGTGTGTCAGCGCTGTCCGGTAGACTTTGTGCGGTGACAGACATCTTCTCTCTCTACTCTGTCCAATACAGTCACCTCTGGTCATATGTGCTTATTGAACACAAATGTGAGTGATGTCTGAGGACTGACTCTTTAAACAGTGTGGGCTAATGGCTACACTATTGGGCAACAGCTCTAAGGGGCTTATTAGTAAATTTGAAATGGACACGGTTCTGGCCTGTGCCAGCTGATATAAAGGATGTGGGTGGACAAAGACTCGACTACTTCCCAAGTTCCCTCCAGAGCTAGCCCTCATCTCCTCTCTGGCTTTTTTCTGCAGTTCTCTGCCCTGTGCCTGCTCTCCCAGGCAGTTGGTAGTTCCCCGGAAAGAGCCTGAGCTGTCATTCTTAAGGGGTTTCATGCACGATGTTTTTCTCCCCCTTTCAGCTGGCATCTGTGTTGCTTTCAGGGCTATTGCCAGTTGCTATACGAAACTTCCTCCCCACCACTTGGCCACTGGTTATCTGTTCAGTCTTCCCCACTGGGCTGGGAGCTCCTTGAGCAGGGACTGGGTCTGATTTGTCACCAAGCTAGCACCCAGCACAGGGCCTCAAGCCAAAGAGGGACCAGGGAACCTTTGCAAAACAAAGGAGAGACCATGAGAGCTGCCTTAGGCTGGACCTGCTCACTGGGAATAAGTAGGAGCCAGTGATAGAGGGATGATGGCCCTGTTAAAGGTCTGGAAGCAGGAATGGGCGTAGGCCACCAAGGCAGGAAGTGGGGCTTTGCCTCTTGACGGCATTACCTTGGCCAAGCCAGAGCTTCCCTCTGAGACTTCTTGTTAAATGGGAATGTTGTTACTGGGAGCACCTGTAGGTACCGGGCAGACACTCCAGATTTATCAGATTAAACCTTGCACATACCCCATGTGCCAGCTGACATAACTTAAGCCAAGATAACAGCGGCCGCCCCTAGTACTTGCTGCTCTAGTCCTTGCTGGGTGCCACGTGCCCCATACTGGGTTGGGTGTGATGTTGACACCATGGCAGGGAATCAGGCTGGCAGAAAAAGCACCATAAAGAGTTGGTTGGCTTAGGTGCAAATCCCAGTTCTGCCACAACTTGCTGAGGTTCGGACACGTTCACTCGCTTTCTGGCCATGTAACAACTTTTTTTTTTTTTTTTTTTTTTTAAATGAGGATGATTCCTCCCCAACCTTGATTTTGGGGGAATTATGTGAGCTAGTAAACAAGATGTATGGCCTGTCTCTAGTCCCACGTTGACAGTCCCCTACTGGGCTGGATGTCATACAGCTCCTCACACTCATTAACCTCCCCAGCCCAGCCATGCACCTTCCTCAGCCACTTCCCAGGTCGTCCCAGGGCCCCTCCAACACCTTAGTTCCAACCTCTGGGGCTTCCTTAGCTACTGCGTGCAGTGGCTCTTAAGCCATGGTCCTCAGATTCCCCCTGCTCTCCATCACCCAGGGTAAGAAGTACAAGCCCCTGGATCTGCGGCCCAAGAAAACACGGGCCATGCGCCGCCGGCTCAACAAACATGAAGAGAACTTGAAGACCAAGAAGCAGCAGCGGAAGGAGCGGCTGTACCCACTGCGGAAGTACGCGGTCAAGGCCTGAGCATCGCAGGGGGTCAATAAAGCACAACCTGGCTCATGTTGCTTTGTTTGCACTTGTTTCAGCCAACCATGCTGGAGAGATGGGCTGATGTGGCCCGGGCGTCTGACGGTTTTGGCAGGCCTGCCTGTAGCTGTTTAAATCTGGTGCTGGGCGTGACAGCCTGAAGGCGCTGTTGGGTGCTCTGTTACCATTACGTTGGGCCTGTGGCGTGGAACTGCCCTGACTGTCCTTCCTGCCAGCTCCCATGCGCCCTGGGCAGGGAGAGGCAGGGGCATGAGGTCTAAGAGCCAAGTGTGGCAATATTATACAATAGTAGACAGGCTCTGGGTGATTTGATCATGCAGTGGAATTGACGTCTTGTCTAATCGGCAGCTCCAGACACTAATAAGAGTTTCCCATCTGGGGTGAAGATGCAAGTGTGGGCCACATCCAGGGCTCCCTGCCAAAAACACATCATTGGCCTCTGAGGATTCAGATCCTGCCTGCTTCCAGCTTCCCAGCACACATTCCACTGTGCCCGTGGGTGCTCCAGCCACAGGCCTTACCTTCAGGGTCTTGATGCACTTTCCTGTGTTGCAGTCCCAGACTTTGACCTGGAAGTAAAAAGCAGAAAGGCGGGGAGGCCTCACAACACAAGCATTTGAAAAATCACCTTGGGGGTGAATCCTTGCCACCATCTTAACCTCTTAAAGTCTTGGTTTTGTTTATAAGGTATACTTAACATGCCTGGCATACTATCTGATGGAAACTGAGTGCAATACAGCCTCCTTTTCCCTGGAGCTATTTGAGCTGTAGACCTGTTACTAACATTTGGGCTACCGCAGACCTTAGTGCCAGGCACTAGGTATAGAAATGGGCGACACCTGGGTCCTGCGTTTGGCACTTTCCTATTCAGGTCAAATTGGGATGTGGTCCTTTTCTGGACGGCGCTAAGGACTCTTGTAAGTGGGATGTGGAGGTAGGAGTTTGAGAGAAGGAGGGACCTGGTGGGGTTACCATTCGTGAGTAGCCAGCGCTGGCCAGTTGCAACCCATCCGGGGAGAAAGCTATGCTCTTCACCCAGGTGGCGTGGCCCTTGAGCTGGACAAGCAGGCTTTTGGTTGAGGGTTTCCAGATGTGGATGGTCTTGTCCCAGGAACCAGATGCCTGGACAGCAGATAGCTCTGTTTGGGGCCTGCATGCTCATTGGACCCCAGAATGGTTCATGACCCTCCAAGGGACTTGCAGTGAGTAAGGGGCGAGACTAGAACCCAGGGCAGCCCATCTCACCAGGAGGCCGGCTGCTGAGTAGCACAGGCAGCTGATGTTGCCTCTGTGACCCTCCAGCTCCTGATGGAAGATCGCCGGGGTCCCTGCTCGAAGGTCCCAGATACGAATGGTAGAATCCCAGGAGCCAGTGGCCTGCAGACAGCTGCTGCCGTGAGCATGAACCAACTAGCCCAGGCCCACCCTCCTGGTTCCTAGGCCGGGCAGACTCAGAAAGCAGGCCCTGTTTGACCAAAGCCCTGCCGAACCATCTCACAGATGAGGGTACTGAGGAGGGGCCTGGCAGAGGTGGTGTAGCTCACCAGGCAGTCCGAGTTGGGCGCGAAGTCACTGCTCTGGACGGAGCCTTGGTGCCCTGCTAAGTGGCGCAGCATCTGGCCAGACTGAAGATGCGAGGCTTGAGCTTTGGAGGGCAGCCCAGAAGCCTCAGTGCAGGGTTCTGGGCCTTAGGTCAGACCCAGGCTCGCCTTTTGGGGCTGCCTGGGTAACATGGACAAGACAGGGTCTGGGAGACTTCCCCAGCCGTGAGAGGAGAAGGCAGTACAGGCAGGGAGGACCTCATAAGCACGGGGGCTGGGGGTCGGTGGCTACAGCCAGGTGCAAGGGGTTTGGGTGCCGGGTGTGGGCATGGGCAGAGGGAATGCTGGGAATGCCCTTTCTGGAGCCAGTGTGGAGAGTGTGTGTACCATCAAGATCCCAGGCTCTCTGGCTACCCCTCCATAATACCTGCACCTCCCAGAGCATCACCCGCTTGTCCCAGCCACCCGATGCCAGCTGCTTGGAGTCAGGGCTGAAGCTGACTGTTTCCACACTCCGCTGGTGACCTGCAAGAGGCACAGTCCAGAAGGGAACCCAGGCCTGGCTGCTGGGCTCCAGATCTCGTCTGGCCTACCCCCCCCCCCCTTTTTTTTTAAATCCTCACTGGAGGATACATTCACTGACTTTAGAGAGAAACATCAATTGGTTACCTCCTGTATGTGCCTGAACTGGGGATGGCACCCACAACCTTTTGGTGTACGGGACCACGCTTCAAGCGAGCCACCTGACCAGGGCCAGCCCACTCACCCTTTAATATCTGCAGGCACTTGGCTTCTGCTACATCCCACAGGCGGATGGTGCAGTCACAGGAGGTGCTGGCAAAGAGGCGGCCGTCGGGGGAGAAGCGGCAGAACTTAACAGGGCCTGGGGCAGGCGACCATAATCAGAGAACAGCACTACCCCCTCCTCTGGCCCCTCTACGCGTGGTACCTGCTAATCTCTCCAGCCTCCTCGCCTACCTCCCTTGTCCTCACTCCTTTCTACCCTTCACCATTCACTTGGGAATTCCTGGAATACCCAACCTCAATTTGCCCATTTGTAAAATCAATACCCAATCCAATGCAGGCACCACTCAGAAACTCAACAGCCCAGCATAGGTTCATTGCCTCCTTTGTGTTCCCCAGTCCCTGGATTTTCCTATTATAGCATTAATCAATATGCCCAGTGATTAACCAGAATTTTTTCCTTGTCTCCTTAATTATAAATTACATCTACTCAGTACTTATCAGGTGCTAGGCACTTTGCATTATTTCATCCTCTAGGGTAGCAACTATTATCCCCATTCTAAAGAGGAAATAGAGGTTCGCAGAGTGACATGGCAGAATACTGGGTAAAACATGAACCATAAGGACCTGCTAAGAGGAGTAAGCCAGTCACAAAGAAATACTGTAGGGTTCCACGTCCGCAAGGTACTTAGAATAGCCGGTTCAGTTCATGGAGACAGCAGAATGGGGTTGCCAGGGACGGGGGGAGGGGGAAGGGGATGTTTAATAGGGATACAGTTTCTGGAAGATGAATGCTGGAGACTAGTTGCACAACCATACTAACATACATTAACACTGCACTTAAAAATTGTTAAGACAGTAAATATGTGTATTTTTAAACTTTTTTTTTTTTAAAGTAGGATCTGAGCCCTTGCTGATACAGCTCAGTGGGTTGAGCGCCAGCCTGTAGGCAGAGAGGTTGCCGGTTGGATTCCCAGTCCGGGCACATGCCTGGGTTGTGGTCTGGACCCTTGTTGGGGGCAAGATTGCTATTTCCCTCACACATATTTCTCTCCCTCTCTTCCTTCCTCTTTTCTCCTCTCTCTAAAAATAAATAAATAAAACCTTTTTAAAAAGTAGGATCTGAGTCCAGGTCTGCCAGAGTCAGAGGCTGGTGGCCCCAGGGACCAGGTCCTGTCTCCTTGCCCTCCTGCCCCAGCCTTGGCCAGGCTGTTTTGCATGGATGCCCAGTTACACTGGAGGTCACTATGGTAGGCTCTGCAAAACGCCAGAATATGGGCCTCAGCCTCTCCTTCCAGGCTGAGGAGCCCACCTGTGTGGCCACTCAGCCTCCACAGCAGATGCCCACTCTGGGTTTTCCAGCCATACACACAGCCGTCCTCGGAGGCTGTGAGCAGCATCTGGCCATCGGGGGAGAAGGAGGAGAAGTTGACCTGGAACAAAGCACAACAGTAATCCCACCATGGGGCAAGGAATACTTGCCTGTTCATTCTTGACCCCAGGCCCCTGGGTCATCCCTAAACACGCAGGAGCCCAGACCCCAGGGACCACTCTGCAGTCAGAGCCAGGAGCTCTGCAGAAGCCTGTAAAACTTGCACCTGAAGCTCAGTGTCTCACTCATGCCAGAGGCTGGAGCTTTCTCTAGAACCAGATTCTGAGCCAAGAAGTCCATTCGAGAGCTGCAGCCCAGAACCAGGAGTTCATTTGAAAGCCAGAGTCCAAAGAACATTGGAGCCAGCCAGGAGTGCGAGCCCTCTCTGCGCCCGAGCTTAGAACCTAGCGCCCATTCTGGCGCCAGAGTTCCAGCTACAGGAAACCGGGGGCCTGGAGTCAGGACCGAGGCTACAGGCCACACCTCCCCGCGATGCCGGCGGAAGTATTTCACTCTCCCCACGGCCAGCGTCCTTGGGGCTCTGCTGTTCATGGGCCCGCGGCGGCCAGCGCCCGCGGTGTCCCTCCTAGGCAGGCGCTGGTGGGGCCGCGGGCCCGGACTTAGGGCAGGGGGAAGTGGTAGGGGGGAGCTGTGTACTAGCGGTCTCCATGGCAACCGAGCCGGGGCACGCAGCCGCTCTGGGGTCTCCGGGCCCAAGCTGAGAGACTGGGAGAGTTCTTAGCTCACGGGAGCTGGGGCCGCCGCGGGCGACCGGCTCCTGCTGCGGGGCAAGGCTGCGCGCTCAGTGGCCGCGAGAGGGCACACCAGCCCCACATAGCGCGCCTGCCTCTCCCGCTGCTCTGACCAGTGCACAGTGCCAGTCAGTTTGCAAAGGACTCACAGACCCCTTGGAGACGAGCCTGTTTCCCCATCTCAGGAATGAGGAGGATCATCCTTGCCCCTCAGCACTCCAGGCTTGAGCCAAGCGTAGAGCCTGGTGCCCAGTTGGTGCCCTGGAACCAAGATCCTTTTCTCTAGGAGGCTCAAGAGCCTCCAATAAGAGGACTAGAGATGATGCCCATCTTTGCCCTCCAGGAGCGGGGAGCCAGAGGTAGCGTGTGTGACGCACAGGGCAGTAAAAAGTGGAGTCACTGTTGTTAACATGCCTAGCAGCACAAAGTGTGCCATCTGAGGAAGTGCAGGCCGTGGAGAAAGGCCCCAGGCGCTGTCAAGACTAGTTCAAGCTGAAACTGGGAAAGAATAGGACCCGGTTTCAATTACCCTTTACAGATGAAGATGCTGAGGCCACCATATGAGGGGACACATGTTCAGGGTCACTCAGCCAACAGAAAAGGAACTAGGACTTCATCCCTTGTGTGTCTGACTCTGGGGACCTATGTTAGGACCACCTGCCATAAATTCCAGGGGCTTCGCAGCAGATGCCCAGGTCCCTGACTCCTGGTACATCTGGGAAACTGATGCCCTGAGAGGGAAGATTTAGCCCTGTCACCCAGCGCCTCCACAGCAGAGCTGGGGCCAGGACCCAGTTCCCCTCCCTACAGCAGGGTGGGGCGGGACTAAGACACCCTCGGCTCCACTGCCCCATGGATCCCAGAGTCCCTGGGGGTGGGGGCGGGGCAGCTGGGCTTTGGGAGCTTCAAACTTGAGGGTTCCCAGTGGTGACTCACACTCCTCCCCCCAGACTTCTTTGCCAGAAACCCTTCTCACGAGATCCCCTGAGCTCCAGCTCTATTTTAGGTTCCAGACAGTCTGGCGGGAGAGGGGGTGACAATGGTGGCTTTGAGGCAGCTCCACCCCCATTCTAACTCCCAGAGAGCCCAGGTCCCTCAATTGATTCCTCAGGGACTCATCTGAGTTAGGCCTCTAAGGCCACCCCTCACCCCCAGACATGGGTCCCAGACACAGCGCCCCCATAGCTGGCTCCCCAGGCCCTCTCTCCCTCTCTCTGCTCAGGCACCCCCAGCCCATGCCCCATCTGGCATTTCTCCAGCCACCTGGTTGTTCCTACTCTACCCGGAGAACCCAGCCCATCCCTCCCAGAGCCCTCTAGGCAGACCTCGTCCACCAGGCCCAGCAACCCCTCGGCCAGGAGGGGTTAAAACCTTTCTTCTGACCCAGGAGTCTGTGGTTGGAACCACGCACCACAAATCCCAGGGGCCTCAGGGGTTCAAGCATCATGCCCACCTGTCCTGCCTCATCCTGCCACTGTCCCTGCTCCCATCTTGCTCCCCAAACTCAGCCACGAGGACACTTTCTTTAATTCCTCCATCCTGGGCTTCTGCACATGGGGTTCCCCACCCTCTTACCTTGCGATCTAGCTCAAATAACAGTCCCTCTCCTCTACAGCCTTCCCTCGCCCACCGCCCACCCCAGACTAAGTCAGGGCTCCTGCACCAGAGATGGAGCATTAGAAGCACGGGTTAGGATTAAACCTGGGTTCCACCAACGACCAGCTCTGTAACCTTGGCCAAGCCACCTGATCATTCAGTGTCTCGGTTTCCTCCTCTGTAAAACAGGGGCACTCACAGTGGCCACCTTGCAAGGAATCAGTGCCTATCAACGTCACCTGGTGTGCAGTGAGTGCTCCGAGAAGGCAGGAGCTGTGACATTCCCTTAGCCCCTTTAGCTTAGAGCCCAGACACAGACACCCCCTGCCAGCTACCCTAAGGGTCCCCTGGCCCAGGGCCCATGATGCGGAGAGGGCCTGGCGATCAGGGGCTGTCTGGCTTCCTGCCCAGCAGAGGCTGCCCCTGCAGCGTGGGGTCCATCGCGGGGGTGGGGCACCAGTGTGTCCCAGTCATGGTGGCAGCAGAAATATTACACTGACTCGGGTTCTGCCCATGAGATTGGGGGACCCAGATTCTAGCCTCTCCAAGAGGGTCCTCAGGGAGCATTTTGTACCCTTTGACTGTCTTTTCCTTCTCAGGAAGCCTACCATATTCTCTCTTCCCTCAGCCCAGACTTTCTGGGGGGTGGGGCACTCTCACTGCATCTGCTGAAGGTGACCCATGGTCCTGGGACCAGCCTTCTTCTCTTCACTTCCTCAAAGTGGCTGCCTTTGCAAGCTTCTTGGTTTCCTCTGAAACTGCCACGGATAACAGCCATTTTAAAGAGAAAACTGGAGATTCAGAGAGGAAAATGATTTACCTTATAAAGGTCACACAGCCAGAAAGTAATAGAGATGAGATTCAAACCCACATTCCATAACCCCAAGCCCCCACCTCATCCGTTGCACCACACACTCTTTCAGTATCGCCTATGGAGTTCAGGGTGTGAGGCTCTGCACCCTCACCGCACACCTCTCGCCCCTTTGCATGGGACCTCACTACGCCCAGGCCTGAGCCACTGTGGGCAGCCCTTCTTCAGAGAGTCCTGGATGAGTGCAAATCTGCCTGTTGCACCAGCAGAATGAAAGAGGGGCCCAGGTGAGTCCCTGCAATTCCACTCCCAGGGACACGGCCAGCACCATTTGTAGTTCCGAAAGAAAGACTGGAAACTACCCTAATCGTCAAAGGCTGTAGAAATAAATGATTTCCTAGTCAAATGATGAAAGCTACACAGCCAGGGAAATGAGCAAACTACGGTTCTGCATATCAACACGCAAACAGCTCAACAAACATGCTCAGCAAAAAAGCAACGAGGCAGAACGCACTATAGACATGACCTCTTCATGAAAAACCAAGACATGCCAAAGGCAACCTATGGATGGATGCCTGAGAAATGAGAAACTATAAAGAAACTGAGAAACTCTAAAGAAAAGCAGGGAATGAGACAATCTGGAATCACCAGAGCAGCGAACTACGGGGAGAGGAAGGCAGGGGACACGGGAGGCCTCAAGGAGTACTTGTTCCTGGTGACGTTCAGGCACGAAGCTGGGCAGGGGGCACCCAGGTGTTTGTTGGGATACCCTGCAATAACCAGCCCCGCCGATCTGGCCCCTGCGGCCTGTCCTGCCACCTTCCTCGCTCTTCCACTCCTTGTCCCCACCCCCCCCATTCAGAGTACTTGTGTGGATTATGCAGTGCCAGGGCTAGGACGCACTTCAGGAAGCAGAGAAAGCTGTTTTGCAGCAAGACAGCAGGCGGGGAGGAGAGACGGGGACAGTCCGACTGCCCGGTGTCGGCCAGCTCCTCAGCTCTCAGCTCCAGTCCCTGACGCTGCTGTCCTAAAACGAACCTGTCTCCTGAAATTCCCCCCCTTTTTTTTTTTTTTTTTTTAAGCAATCTCCAGTATGGTTTTGGTTACTTGCCACCCAAAGGACTTTGGCTAAAACATCTCTAATTTCCAGAGCTGGTCCCCTAATATTATGCCTTTGGGGCTTCTCCTCTGGGATTCCCCTGCCGCCATTTGCACACAGGGATCCTAGCCACCCCGGGTGACCAGTGCCCTCAGGCCTCGGTGTTTTCCTCACCGCTGGGCCCATCCGCATTGGGATGCACTGTAATGTCACTGGCCCTCCTGAATTGGACAGGCTAGAACTGGAAACACGCTCTCTGTATGGACTGACAAGTGCCAAGCTGACAGGCGCTATCATTTCCAGTTTTCTAGACACTCAGTCTCTAGTAATGCCACCCACATTACGAGAGGCATTTGTGTTTTCAACAGTTACATTATTCTGGTGACTCACTGAATTTGCAGCGAGAGCTTTTTCCCATGCACTGCTATCTGGCACGCACTCTCTCCTCTATCTGGTACTCGCAGAATGAATTCTTCGGAAACACAGGCAAGACCTTACATTATGCTGGTTAAATGTCATTTTCTTGGCTCCCATCCAACTGTCTAGTCTTGAAAGCGTTGTAAGTCCAGCTTCTGTTGTACAAAGCATTAATTCTGCACTGTGGCAGCTACAAATTTTATGAGCAGGCCTTCTGTGTTCTAAATCCAAATTGTAAAAATGATGCTCAATGGGACATGGGTGAGTACAGAGCCCTGTGGTCTCTCACTGGAGACTGCCAGTTATTCTCACTTTTTTTGCACCCATTCACACCCATCAGGATCATGGACTAACCATGGATGGGGCAGGAGAGCGATGAACTTCTACCTCCAGCAAGGTTCTTTGGTTGCAAACAACAGGAGCCTTCAATGGCCAGAAGGGAGCATGTGGGAAGGAGCTGGGGGGATCAAAGATGGGAGGGACTACAACAACCCTGCCATGCCAGGAAAGGGCAAGAAGCAGGGGCTGAGAATCCAGGGTGAAGCCCAGGTAGTTCAGGGTCCTTGGTGAGCTTAACATTGGCCGAGTGAGTGGTGGGCTGGGCATCTTTATTGCCAGTCCTGTTAAGATCTGGGCTTCTATTCCCACCTGCAGCCTCCTCTGTTAATCAGAAATTTCTAGTTCTGTTTAAAACCTGCTGTGCACCTGTAGATTCTGGAGCCAGAAAGCTGCATTCAAATCTGGCTCCACCACCCACCAGCTAACTACTCTGTGCTTCCATTTCCTTCTGTCTACAATGAGGGCAAGGATTACTTCCCACCTCATAGGGTTTGGCCTTGAGAATGGAGTTGATACAGGCAAAGTGTCTGGCATGTAG